ACTACTCCCGTACGTAGGACGGGCTTACACCTCGTTTTAGTAAAAATACTTTAATCATACAAGTTGAAATTTGCTTTGTGAATAGTTTTGCTGCGACAGGGTATTTTATTTGTAGACCCGAGTTATGACTTGTAGTGGTTTTTAACTTGAAGTTGAATGGCTGAGTGGTCAATAGTCTAGCTAGAACATTTGAGGTATCAGATTCAAGTCCCCAACTTGGAGGGGTTAATTACAAAAATTTAAAAATGCTGTTTTAATAAAACAGTACTATTGAGTACTGGCATAGACTAATCAACACGTATGTTTTATCTATGGTACTGGTTTTCTAAAAAAAACTCTTTATTATGGTTGTTATTAGAACAATCTCATACCCGACGATAATAAACAAACTTATATTTTGGTAAAGTTTTAAAGCTGAATCTGTGCAAGCAAGTTGCGTTGGCTGAGTATAACTGTTTACAAAGAGGACAGTATACTCATCTATTTACTTATTTAATACGCAAGCAGGTTTTTTGTGACAATTACTCCTCCGAAACTACTGAACCGATTTACATGTTTCTGGTGTCATTGGAAAGAGCCTAACGTGAAGTTGTGCAGGAAACTTTCTTTTTAGGGAAATAATTAGAGAGTGAGGCCCTGGTACCCTTTAAAGTTTTGTATTTCTCCATAAGATTAGCATGGGAAACAAAAAATTTTTATAAAACTCCAGCTGTTGTCAGAAATTAAAAATGAGAAGAAAAACCTATGTAAATTGTAAACCGTCAATAATTTTGCTAATTTAATAGTATGAAATGAAATATTCACTATTTGAATTTGGGTTTGCATAAATATTACAATGGAAAAAAGCGAGAGAGCTGATTTACATTACTCCTGATATACTGAAAAAGAAAAATGAGTTAACAACACTGTGCTGCATTTCTTAGTAATCATTGAACGAGCCGATTTTCAACTATGGAAACATAGGAAAGTTATATAACACCACCAAGGTGAAGAAATAGAAATATTGTTAAGAAGAAACAAGATCAGCTTTTGAAAAGTGATAAGATATTTATAAGAAATGTTGATTCTATCGATCTCTTATGTACATCTTAAAAAATGTTATAATCTTTGAGTAGAATCTTTTAAAGTAATCAGAAATTATGACTGTTATTTGTATTAAAATAACGCCTGTATATATAGCAATTGCTCGAATTCGAGCAGCAGGGACACTAGTATGCGTAAAAACGGCGACGACGCAAAGATAGAATAGAATCAACCGAGAGGAGGGGAAATATCGATCGATGGCTGTGGTGGGAGAGCCGACGACAGGTTGAGCCGTTGGCCGCATGGCCGCGCCACTGCACGGCGCCTTGAAGAGCGCTTGCAAGCCTTTCGAGTCTGCGTGATTACATAGTTATCATTCAACTTTTTAGTAAACTAATTCCAGGTTCTTGTTTTTAAGAATCTATTGCACGTCTCCCGTTTTTTATTTTTTCTCTAAAAATTATTTTTATGTATTAAAACTCATGATAAAGAACGCCTCTTTTAACATTTTTCACCAACCTTTGAGCCCAAAATTTTTTAAATTATCAAAATTTAAAAAAACGGGAAACCTACAATAACATTTGACGGAAAATATGACACCAAGATCTTTTAAATCGGTTCACAATTGGGGCTACAATCAGGAAGAACTAAAACCCTTACATTTGCGCGCGCCAGACGGGTAGAGCGCACCCTTAAGACTGTGTCATTATACGTTTCTGTGTAGAAAATAATACGGTACCTATTACCTAATTTCCTTAACACGATGCCCATCACCCGTCACACTGCTCTGTATTGGTAGGCTTGAGTCAACTAGTAGCGATTGTGTTAATCAGGAAATTTCCAAGGATGCTACTGGAAAATATTTTTTGAGTTCATTGTGTGGATTTTTCTTGATTACACCTAATGTAATGTTTTCAGGTTTGAGATAGTGGCTGACTCAGACCTGAAGGTTATCGGTGGTTACTCACTGGACGAGTGTCACGCTCAGCTGTTACAAGAGATCAACAGAGTGGTCGGGACTGAGGTAGTCAACACTAGAGGTAGGGGTGCAGACTTCTTCGGGCTCTCACATCCGACCATCCACCACCTCATTCAAAGCTCTCCGGGCGTGCGCAAATGCCATGGTGAGTGGATGGAGTAGGATATTTTCCTTACACACACAGTGCATACTTGATGGTGCATACGCGACACTGCATCACAGACAAATCCACGTGGCATAGGTTAATAATACTGTCAAACGCTAAGCATTCCAGCTTGGGAAAACAAGTGGGTTTCAACACGCAATAGTTATACCGTACTGTGTTTTTAATATGTACTTTGAAATGGCGACCATACGAATGTAGCTATTGGTGATTGGTCATATTTTGTTTTGAACCCCCGAGACCTTGGACTCTGAAGCCACAAGCTCTACCACCAGACCAGCTCACTCGCAATATTACAGATTATACTACTAAGGAATTGTCTTAGTATGAAATTTTTCAGGCTACCCTACCTGTGAAACTAAGGAGCCTAACCTAAGTAACCTACCTAAACAGAATTTGTAAATATTATAACATTTCAACTTTACAAACATAGTGGTTGTCATATGACAGAAAAAATCTTAGAACAGTTAGAACTTGACAGTTCCAGATTATCCTACGACTCAAAACAACTGCATTAGAACATGGTGTAGCACACTTTTATTTTCCAAAGATGGAATGCATAGCATTAGATAAAGTATATTATACAGGACAGGTGAATGGGATTTGTCGAGGGTGTGTAAAAATATGTGAACATGTTTTGTATACAAGTTTTCTGACAAAACAATTTGTTCAAAATATTTTGCCCCACCTTGCATAGAGTGCACCTAGTCCAGGGTCTAGTAACATCAGCCCTGAGAGTAACCACTCAGAGTATTTCATAGTAGTCACAACAAAGATGCTAAATTAGTCACAAAAATCTAGGAATCACAATGTAAAAGGTAATAAATGTTTTGTGCCCATAAGGCTACGTCTGGACCAAGTTTGACCTGAGCCGAGCGTCGGAAGGTTTGGTGATTCCAGAGCAAGACGCCGCTCTCAGCTACGAGGCTCTTCTGAGAACAATCAACTTCACTCGAACACACCTCATCAAGCAAGAGCCTGAGGACAGTTACGGGGAAAATAACGTTACCACTTTCCAGAATCTACTGCTCAATTAGCTTTGGGAATTTCAATTGTATTATGAATTTGAAAGGAAAAGCCTAAGTGGCTGGTAAAGAGTTTTTCCTATACGGATGAAGTTGCTTACCTGAGAAAAATAAGATTCCAGGGGCTGATAGATTTACAAATAAAATATCACGTAACGTAACACTTATATTACGTCCTAATGAGTGATAAATAATTAAGAACAATTATTTAAATTCATTAAAATAAATACACTCTGGTCCTATATTATGACAATATATCAGTGTTATGTTTTTGTTGATTTTTATTTGTGTACCTTATCTAAGTTCTAGACTATTTACTCAGGTAAGTTAGCTAAACTCTGTCCCTTTACAAAAACACTTGTAATATAAGTGTATCAAAAATGGCACATTCAACAAATATCATGCAATCACTTATTTTAGGTTGTGTTGGAAAATCAATGTAATCAAATTGTTGGACAGTAAAAATTAGTCCATTTGCACTCGAGATTACAGTTTGTTTTCTGTTTTCCCATGCAGTACACTAGGATCATAAAGGTGAAAAAATCATATTATGTACATTTATTTGATACTGTATATTGCAAAAATAGTTGCAAGAGGCACAAATTACAGTTAACAATAAATTATCTCCAGTTGTAAAAAAAATTAATCAGAAGTATAAAGTGCTCTAATGGGATTGTGCCAGTAAAATTGTTACTTTTATATCTAAAGCACATTTAACTATTAATAAAATTCGTCATTGGTACAAAAAACTGAACAAAGGTAACGAGACTCTATGTTTGTTTATTCATTTTGAAGGTGAAACCCTGAATTTCATTCTGAATTAAGAATAAAGATATTGCACAACAAATAGAATAAATGCTTTGCGACCAAAACAGCAGGAAGGATTTATTGAGCATTGACATACTAAAGAATAAAGAACAAAGGATCAAGATCCTTAGAACTTCTAGGGGTATCTTGGGACCAACAAAATGTGGCATTTGACTAGTCTTGGAAACAAAAATGATCTGAGATTGTGGTTGTAATATTGCTGTAGTAAAAATGTGAATATAACAAAGTGTTTACAACGTTAAATGGTCTCTATTATTAACCAGTTCTGAGAGAAGTAAGGTACAGAGGACATGTTCAATGGTACATTCAAGTGGTGTCTAGCACTAGTCGCTGGTGTCTAGGGCAAAGACCAACACCACATCCTTCGCCATGATGTACTATAATGCTCTCATTGGAGGAAGACCCTGTGCGATAGGAATTTCCGCACAGTGCTCAGTAGCTCAGGCTCTTAGTTGCCCTTCACAAGGCAGTATATTTCTGGTGCAAGATTCTAAAGATAAAAGTGCACTATTGTCTTATAATTAAGTTAACTCTGAGCCTTACTTCTCTTTGGCCAGTTGTAAAGAATAGCAACATTATAACTGCAATATGTTACAGGGAGATTGGCGCATCTAAATAATCAACCCTAAATGAATAGTTTCTCAGTCAAGCTACACTATATCCCTTCTACTACATTGAGCTATAAATTGTGCATGTTCATTCTAAATTTAAATATCATACAAACAGTAAAACAGATTTTAATAAAAGTTGTATTTTACAAACATAATACAAAGGAACTTTATCTGACTCCAGCTCATTCTGTTTTCCTAAAAGCTGTTTCAGTCCCCTGTGCATGTATTAAAAACAGTTGGTTTCACTGCAATGTAACAAAAACATTTTTTTCTACAGTCACCCGACAAAGTTGGCTTCCTTGCACTGTTTATAGTACAGAAAGCTGCTAATTGCTGCATATTTATACTCTGTCGTACAGTTTATACTTTGTCGTACGGTTTATACTTTGGCGCACATCAGGATTCCAACGAAACAACACAAAACAGCGTGGTTCTTTTATGCACGAAATCTGTGTGCGCTTGGAAATAGGTTGGCAACACTTAAAGATAATAATACTATGAGCAGCTGATTGACAATTATAACGATTTAACCTGTCATTTCGTGTTTATAGTTTCGGTTAGTGATGTGTCAAAACCGAATCTCAAATTTCAAAACCATCAAAACTTTGGAAAAGTTTCGGTTTCGAGATTCGATCACCGAGTTTCGAGATTCAAAAGTTTCGAAATTGAAGATTTTGTCAGTTTTATTCTTGAATCTATTGGCACTCTTTGCATTATTATTATTATTTTTAACACTGTTTCCACACTATCTGATAGCAATAGAGCAAACACAGTAAATTGTATTCTGAAATTTCAGAAAGAATTATGTTGGTATGGGTTTATCATTCACATATTTATGTTATTATGTCAGTGTCAGGAGTCAACCTCTTACAGTATTGATTTCATTAAAATTTTTATTATTACCTGTATTTTTTCTGTAACCTTAACCTTTGTAACCAGCTAAGTAAAATGGTTTCGCGTTTAGGTTTTGAGATTCGGGATTCGAAGTTTCGGTTTCGGTTTTGAGATTCGAAATTTCTGGTTTTGACCATCACTAGTTTCGGTATTTCTGAACTTTCTGGACTTTTCTTTTAAAGGTTTTTAAAACATAACTACGTTCTTAATAAACAGGAAAATACCTTTATTTAAAGCATTTGTTTAGGCGCGGAAACCACTTCAAATTACAAAAACATACGGAACTATTTTCTCAAGTCGCGGAGCACATTGCTTGCCGAGGAAAAAATAGCGGAGTGATACGGACCGGTGACTACTTTCTCTAGGGCACCTATTTGTGTTGCCAGCTGAACCTAAAAACGTGTTGTATAGTGTTTGATAGACTAATTATTTATATGCTTTATAGTGACTGTAGGAAAAATATAATGTGTAACACGAGTGCAAAAGGCCTTTGCTGCACTCGAGATCATTGCTCTCGTGTGCAGCAAAGTGCCACTTTGCTCACTAGTTACACAAATAACTATTGTATTAAAAACAGTTGTTTTCACTGCAATGGAAGAAAAACATTTTTTGCCTGCTGCTGGCCTTTAGATTGTTTATATTGGCTAGTTACAACTTTTAGTGGCCATTTCAAATTCATCCGATAAAATCAATTAGTAATGCGAGCAAGAACAGGTCGACATTATAGTAACAAGACCAGGGTTTGGACCATCACCTTTCAAAACCAAACATTAAAAAATGCCACTTACATGGAGGTACACAAAAACTGTAATATTAAACATTTTTTAAATTTAAATAAAAAAGACAGCAGTCAGTACAGCTGACTAATTAAGACCACCAAAAATAGTCTCTTACCAAAAACTAAGGGTTAGCCGCCTAAGTAATCAGTTTGCTTTGCTTAGCAATAATTACAAGTTTCAACAGACTTTATTTTACAGACACTATTTTTTCATAAATACAAACACATGTACATGCCATTTACGTATTAGCTTTATCAGTCTGCAAGTCAATCAAAAATGTGCCAAAAAATACTTTGTAGTCGCATGAAAACAACTCACACGTAGAAAATCTATGTTTTCAGTTTTGTTAAGTCATATTGTATAGTATACTGGAAGCAAGATGCACAATTTAAATTTCTTTAAGTTTGGTCTATGAGTGAATTATATTTACTGTAGGCCTAACTTTACATGTATTTCAAAATTGAGTGACAAAAGCGTAATAACAAAAAAAGTAAAAAAGCAACAATCAATTATTGTAAAAATTATTTACATTATTTGACACAGTAATGTACAAATAAATTAAAAATCTCTTATTAACTACAAATCTTAATCTATCACCACAGTTCACTTATTTTAAATAAAAGGAACATGCATTTCAAATATCCTAAATATATATTTTCAATTTAAAATCAACATACAAAAAAAAAAACAAAAAACAAATCCATAAAGCAAGCACAGTAAAGAATATACAAATCGTAAATGTTGACGGAAAGTGTAAGCTTACAGCGTCAACCAAACAACCAAGATTCTTCTTTTTGAATCCAGATAGTATCATTTAAAATGGGCCACTGCTAAAAATTAAATCAAAATTAAATTTCTAAATTGTTTAAAATCAATGCTATAGTATTTTCAAATTTTAAAAAATAAAGAAAACACACATATTTAATACCTAGACAATATCTTGAAATAAATCTCAATGACTTGTCAGCTTTAAAAGCTTTTTTAATCAGTTTATAGTAAAAGTTAATAAACCAATCCAAAATTATAAATCACACACAAGAGAAAAAAAACTATCACCAAATATAGTTACACAGTAGTTTTCAGTACGTAGTAATGACGTAAGTAATACAAAGTAATGACGAATTGTATTATATTTGTAGACATATACTTCATAAAATAATTAGAAAACTGTTTTTATTAAGCAACACCACTGATTCAATAACTTGAATATAAAAATAGTTAATGGACTAAAATAGCATATTATAGGTGTTTACAAAAGGCATTAGTATACGGTGTGAAAATTAAATCTGGAACCTCTTTTTAAAATTTTAAATCAACAATAAAAAAAAAACCAAAGTTCACTTGTGTTGACTGGTGATATTAACACACAAATATGCTTAATGACCGACCGGACAACCCCTTTGGGGGACGGTCCACAAGGAGTCAGACAAAATTCTTAAATAGCAGCATAGGTCGAGGTTGGTATCAAATTAAAGGTCTCTGTTGGTAAATTAATACATTGCCACAAATCCGAACTCAAACGGACAATGGCACCTGCTAGAAGTCGGATGAAAATCATAAACGTAAGCATAGGTCGATATGCACATCACATTACAGGTAATTAATAGAATACAATGCCGCAAATTTGAGCTCAAAACATCAGCTGGGTAAAAAATGACAGCCGTTCAAAGATTCAAAATGGCAGATTAAAAAAATATTTGAACAGCTGCCACTTTTGACTTGGTTGTCCGTTTGAGTTCGGATTTGTGGTGTTGTATTTTCCAAACGTAGACCTTTAATTTGATACCAAACTCAACCTATGCTGCCACTTAAGAATTATGTCTGACTCCTTGTGGACCGTCCCCCAAAGGGGTTATCCAGTCGGTAATTGGGCAGATGTGTGCGTTACTATCCCCAGTAAGCACGAGTGAACTTTGGTATTTCTTTCTATTGGGGTTTAAAAATTAAAAGAGGTTCCAGACTTAATTGTCACCCTGTATATTTGTTTATTATTGTAAAATACTTATTTTATGTGTTAAAACTTGTAATAAAATATAGACTTAGCGTCAAATGTTAAGAAAATTTACATATGAGGAAATTGATTTTTACCATAATACAAAATACACAGTCTTGTATTATTATACTGTATTAACATGATTGATTTGACAACAAGAACAAAAAAATACCTTCTCCCTAGTGAACCTGCCGATAAATAGAATTTCCATCTGCATTGACTAGATTTTCGCTAAATATCTCCTTAAAAATTTAAGATTTATTCCCCATTTAAATAGCATTAGTTTAATGAGTAGATAGCTTTGCTGCTACAGGGAAGAAAATACAAGGTTATTTTAGTGAAATAGTAATAGTAAGAGGAAATAATAAATTTTCCAAATTTTATCAAAATATTTTCATGAACAAGCAAACTACAACAGTTTATTCATCCATAAGAATAACATGGGATTTTAAATTTTTAGTTTTTTAAGCTGTACAAAACAATTTGGAAAGAAATTGCAAAATTTTATGTTTTTAGGGTTAAACATTTTTTTTTAAAACCTATTTTTATCACATAAACACCAATTCCCATAGTCCGATCATGCTGGTTCATGCACTTGTTCAAATAAATGTAGGTTTTCACGTTCATACAAAATTTCATCAAAATCGGATAGAAAGAAAAAGTTAAACAGTCCCTGGTCCTGGTCTGCCAGACCTACAGTGATAATGCCCTATATGAGAAATTCGCTAAAATGAAAGGACAGGTAACCTAACCAGTATATTTATGTATCTAAATCTACAGAAATCGGGCTGTAATTCTATGTTTGACTGACAACTCTTTTTGGCTGTAAATTTTTTAGTAAAATGGTGTTTATCACTGAGCTCATTTTGGATCATTTGTTAGCCTACTTTCACAAATAAGGCTAAGACTGAATCGTTGTTGGATTAAAAGTAAACTATCATGTCGATTTTGGATAATGTACAAGTCATGCCCTCGATGACAACCAAAGAATTGTTCAAGTACTTTTATGAAACCACCTGAGCTATTCTACTAATCATGAATGAGGTTTACAATAGCAGTTTTAAGTAACATTAATTGTCATACATATTTAAAATATTTACATACTTATTACTGTAAAATATATTTTGGTCATACACATTTCTTTCATCTGGAAAATCAATTCACATTTTTTTTAATTAAAAATTTTTAAAGTTGGCAAAATATGTAAAATTATATGGTAACCATATCGATCCATAGTGTGACACAAATACCAGAATAGCAATTAAATTCTACTTTAAGGGACCGAATGTGCAAATTTAATAAGCACTAAACGCCAACATACTAGGACAAATTTCTCAGTACGGTATATGTGGTAGATCTAACAGCTAAATCTAGTAATAATGACTATTAAGTCCAAATGAAACTCTCAATGGTAAATATAACAACCACTTTTCATACAACCACATCTGATTATTGCATATTGCTGAAATTAATTTTTTACGATTTTATTATTATAACAAAATTTAGAATAAATCAATACAAATCTTATTTGTAGGTTGGGGGTGGTATCAGAGTAAATTAGGTGTAGGGATGTGCCAAATCCGAATTTTGAATCCACTGAAGCCTGAGGATAGATTCGGATTCAAGATTCAATTAACAAGATTCGAAAATCAACTTTTTTTTAGAATAGAATAATAAGGCATGTACTGTGACATTGCATAACCATAAAGGTTATTGACGTCGTAATACTCGTAATATACAGTACTGTGACATTGACTAACCATAGAGGTTATTGACGTCGTAAAATATAGTACTATGACATTGACTACCCATAGAGGTTATTGATGCCGTAATATGCATAAAGTAATGTGTGTGACATTGCCATTTTATGAACAGAGTATACTATCAATCAACAAATTTAAAATTAACATGTGTTAAAATTAAAAATTTAAAATTAACAACAACCATAAATAACCAATAATGAATATTTGCCGTCCAAATAAAGTATACCGACCGATTGTTCGATTTAGGTTAATAGATTAAAAAAATGTAACCGATTAGTTGTCTGTTATTTTTAACGTGTGTCAAAAGTAATAACGTAACTTTTCATTGCTATGAGTAGTCATTTATGGTTAGTGTTATATTTATTTTTAAATGGTTCCTATTCCATTCTTGCTTTTTTTATCATCATAAGACCATTTTTAATCATTTTTGGTATTTGAGATGCGAAGATTCAAGATTTGATTTTTTTAGTTTTCGGATTAATATTCAAGATTCAAAATTCCTGGATTTAACCATCACTAATTAGGTGTAATACTTGTTTTTGTCACGACATGTCACAGTAATTAAGTTTTGAAGTACGCCAAAGAGAGATATTGAGTATGTTATGTTTAGAAAATGTATGCCTACTCTACAATGTAAAAAAATTATCCCAAACTATACCAACTTTATAATTACAAAACAAAATCAATAAAACTAAGTTGCTTTTGCACATTTATCATTCTGTAAAGTGTAAATAGATGAAATCAGATGTGGTAGTAAACTTTGATACTTCACTTGCATTATGATTCTTGATGAAAGACACAAGCGTAGTTAAGTACAATGACAGAATCATCTGATAACTGCTCTAGTTCCAATGGTGCGATTGAACAAAGCGTTGGAGATTGTGATCACAGGTGAAAATAGCTTCAGTCTTGTGTCGCTGCAAACATTTAAAGTGTCTGTGGTAAACAGTATAATAATAGATGCAAAATACAAAATAATAGCTGATATACAGTGGTCCCTTGATAGTCTGGTAGATAAAAGGGCCGGCAGTACAAAAGTACCTAATAACAAAACATAATTGTATACAAGAGGTTAAGTTACCTTGATTCTGTCCAAGTAATCCTTAAGTCGTCATTAGTGCATTTTATCGTTTTTTGTTTGTGTACGTGTTATGTGTTACGTGTTTTTCAAGACTCATGACGACCTCCTAGGAGCGATTTTTACGTCCAGCTTGACAATGATGCCATAGACATCGAAACCGGTCGCACTAATGACGACTTAAGGATTACTTGGACAGAATCAAGGTAACTTAACCTCTTGTATACATTCATGAAGTAATCCGGAAGGCAATACACAAGATGAAAACATAATTGGTTGAAACTAGGCTACTAAAAGGACAGGACATAAGATTGGGGAGAAAACTAGATTTGTGTCCAACATAGGCTTATTGTTTCTGCTGATGAGACTACCGAAGGCACGTAACACTTCCACGTACGCCGGATAAAAAGTGTCGGATTATCAAGGGGCGACTGCAATCTTCAACAAATTGAGATTATTTTCATACAAATAAAACTTGCATCATCAACTATGCTAAAGTATAAGTTTTCCAGAAGAGATTTGATGCCTTACAAACAGCATGAGAGGTGAACAAATATTTAAGAGTGGGCAGTAGCAGTCGGCCATATTGGATTGATGCTCCATAAGAACAATGTAATCTTTTGAACCATATAGCGCCGTTATTTTTAAACATAGAACTACGTTTGATGTGTCATTGGAAAGAGAATACAATTCTACAGGGGGTTTGCTTTTTATTTTTTTGATTAAAGAAATATTAAAATAATTATAGCAAAAATACGCTTGTTTAAGTTTACAAATTTGTGGAGGATTTTCTAAAGGAATATTTGAAATTCGAAAAAGCAAACCCCCTACAAAATTTAATTATCTATCGAATAAAGTTTGTTTCAAGAAGATCCGACGTAAACTGTGCACGTGATATGGTTTAAGAAAATGCATGTTTTTGCTGCGCGTCGCGGCGGTATTTCGGCGTAGTAGTCTGGCAGATCTCCGTGAGATAGCAGCACGCTCGCGCATTTGGCGGGAGTTCAAATCAGGTTATTATGGTTCTACATTCATCATGCGCTGCTAATTTTATAGCTTTTTTGATTTATTGTGGAACAAATATTGTTACGAAATTATTGTTATGATTATTGTTGTCATAGTTATAGTTATTGAAAGAAAGGAAATGAACTGGGGACAGTAAGAAATGGCGTGGTGTTGAATACATTTTAAATTTGAATACACATATAAAATATGTTATAAATTTATCAAATACTATTTCTTAGTTCTATACTGATATAAGTACAAAACCAAAATGTGTACAATCAATATAAATTATATGCCAGAGCCTTCCTGTCCCACGCAATGATTGGAAACGAGATACAGTTTAGTAGAAATATAAAATCTTTAAATACAATATATACATTTAAGGCATTAAATTATATTCGTTTCATGTGATAACGGGCAAATTTCATAATTTAACTAATATTTACAGATGTATTTGAACAAATTAGTCTGCTGGTATAAAAAATTGTTCTATTTATAAAATAAAATTTTAAATGCCTAAAATTCAATTACATAATTTATAATTATAAAATCAAACTGTCATAACCTATCCAAACTATAAACTATAACGATAATGAAGAAATCGAATCAAAAAGTTTGTGCCTCCGGAGGTTTCGAGCCGGTAACCTTTAGAACGTTTCTCCGGTGCGATAACCACCACACCACCGAGACATGATGCAAGTCTGTGGGGAACGCATTCTCCTAAACCTCTAGGTCGATCACAGCATAGATAGCAACCCTACCCCCCACCTTGGCCGACGTCTCGGCCGTACACACTGTAACCACGAGACACATTGCACTCGCCCCACCCCTACACCTTGTATTTCTTATTTTCGCAAGTCACGTGATAATGTTGAAAAAACGCGCCAATTCCATCCTAGACATTATTGTGAACTGTGAGGTTATGTTCTAGGCTAGCAACCTATTTGGTCTGCTGTGTCCACAAGTCCAGTGACGTTTAGAGTTCCCTAGTAATAATTCGTAGTTCTACTTACTTTTGGAGAGATTTTGGTGTTGTGGGAACTGGGAAGTAGAAAAAGAAAACTAAGTAGTGATGTTGATGAGCTGATTGCTGATGAGGCGATGAGTTACCTCTAGGCCCGGCGCATATTGAGACGCAGTCGGAGCAGCGCAGCGTAGTGCAGCGCAGGGCAGTGTTTTGTAAACCACATGTTCGCTAGGAAACGCGCATATTATGGCGCAGCGCAGGGCAGTCCCGCACGTGGACTGCGCGCACATGTGGTCGAGTGTCTGTGCCGCATTGCTCACCTGCGCCGGGTTACGCTTTACTAGTGTTTTGTGACGGATCTAGAGGATAATTAATAGAAATTGTGCATTTTTATCCAGTTTTTACGTTACCAGTCATAAAGTATTATATTGTCTGTGGTCATAGTAACAAATAGTAATTGCAAGAATGAAATTTGGGAGAAAATACGAAAAACATTAAACATTGCAAATTTTTTCGCCCTTTCTTTCTTGTTCTCTTGTGAAGAAGTAACAATAAATCTAGATCAGCACCTGAATCTGACTCAGAACTCAAATCCTAATATTTCACAACATGTTCACACAATAAACTGTATCACTCCTATACGAGAACTGCACGACACTGCTTCCCAATTTGCGATGTCAACTGTGCAACACAGACTTTTTGCCCAATTCCGCCTTGTGCTGTGCTGCACTGCCAGTATCGTGCCACACAGCTCAATACAATATGCGCCTGGGCTTTGTAGACAATTCCACGCTATCATCTGATCCTACTGACTGTTTGGGCAACTGTGATATTACCGGTCGTAGAATAGTTGACATTTGTTATTTAGTTGATCAATTTGTCCAACTAAGTTAACATGCGCCTCAATTCGGCTGTTCCCTCAGAAACCTGAAATTAGTTAGTGAAATAAAAAGAGGGCTTAGGAGTGGGTTTGTGTTTGATTGCAACATTTGCCACATCAAACAGACAATATGGAGTGAGCCTGAACCTCGGGAAAATGCAATGTCAATGGACATAAACAGTGCAGCAGTAGCCGGTTCTATTACCAATGGCGGAGGATTTGTCGCCTGAACGGCTGCTGTCTGCAATGAATGTTCGTGCCATGAACCGGAAAACATATGACAAACATAAGGAACTAATTTCGAAAGGTTGGGAGGAAACTTGCCATTTGGAAACCAAAAGGTCTAAAAACTGTAAAAATTGATCGGGACGATGACTTTTGGGAAGTAAACATGAAAGAAAAACTTGAAACCTTTTATATGAAATGTTTACTTCCCGAACTTGTAAACTCACCTCACAATATTCATTTAGGCTAGGCCTATTCTATAAATGTTTAAAGTTAATAAGTTAACAAAGATATACGAATTACAAAAGGTGTTTTATTGAAACAAATGAACAAACATGCAATGAAATTTAAAAGGCTTAACGTTATAATGAAAGGACTAACAATGGAGTGTGGGGGTTGAAATTAAAATGAAATAGAAGATAAGTTTTATAATAAATTTTAAGTATTATAAGAAATGTTGATAACCCAAGTAGCAGAAAAACGAGAAAAATTTGTTTTAATATCAATTTTAAACTTATATTAAAACTGTTATTAATATGAGTATAGTTGACAACCGGCAAAATTTAAAATAATTCAAAAATTGTTTTATAACTATATTGCAACAGTTTTACAACAATTTAAAAACTGTTTTGACAACAATTTTAAAATTGACTTTGCAACATGTTGAAAATTGTTTTCACATAGGACCAGCCATCCCATGGGCATATCCTAAACACAAAATAATAAAGATTTTGTGTGAAATGCATATATATCAGTTGAGCATTTTGATTAAATAGTTCATAAAAACAAATTTTGAGAAAAAACTAGAATCAAAATTATCTTCCCCAGCGGGTCTTGAACCCGGGACCTCCAAACTGTGAATTCCTTACCTTAGCACTGAACTATCTGTGGTTGTTGATAATTTATGTTTTCAATCGGTCAAAGAGGAGCGGACAGTTGCAATGGTTGCAATAAATACTTTTGATACCATGATTATGTTTAGGCCTCAAGTTGTTGAATTGATTTTCTGGGAGTTGAGGAGGATACCGGTATTTGAATGTAGATGAATTAATTAACAATGCTAATGTTATTACAATTATTAAGATTAATTCATCTTCCCCCCTTAAATTGTTCAACTACAAAAAAATTGCTCAAATAACTGAGAAAAAAAAAAAAAAAAATATTTGCATTATTATTATATGTTAAGCAGGTGTTCCATCACTGTATCTAGTATCACAACTATCACAATTAACGTCATCGGTAACTTATCACAAAAATCTGTAACTTATGCATTAAACAGATTGCAAATAACTTCATTCTGTGATGTTCTACAAGCCTAGTGTAAGTGTTTCACAAATTGTATGTTTGTCAAGTGTTGTTTTGGTTAGGCCTATGCCATCCACCATGATTGTAAAGTTGAACAGTATTTACGTTGGTATTTAGAAAACTTGATCTTCAACTAATGTTTCCAACATGTGTTGGATCCGATTTACCATTCATTAATGTAATTACTTAACTTGTTTCATTTTTTAGTAATCTCAGAATTGATAATGATACACCATGTACATATAACAGATCAACTTAATTAAATATTATTCACCCTGTTTTTGCTTATTTTTCATGAGCATTGTTCCACTATTTTTCTTTCGTACAACACTTTTTTACTCTTCGCATTTTGCGCTAAACTTTCTCGTTTAGGAGCTGCATGATACAAAAAGTAGACCGGAAGTTATTTTTTCCTGCTTCAAGCTGTATCTCCTAAACTAGTGGGTTTATGGAATAAATATCACGAATAAAAAATTTTTTAAATTGCATGTTCTATCCGAAAACATGATAAACTATAGGGTTTTAATAAGAATTTTCAATTATTGCTTTAGAAAATTTTGTATGATCCTTGTTCCACTTCAAAACTTTTGTTTGTAAACTGATTATATTCCCATAGCATTCTCTATGATATAAAATTGTAACAGGCTAAATAACCATCCTAGATAAATCCACTAACAACGAAGAGCAGTGAGCAAAATCGAGTGTTCTAAGTAAATAAGCGATGGAAGTGACTTTAGTGCACTCCGACACTCCGAGCAGGAGCAGGGTGGAATCGCCGTCCACTCCACTGACACGACACAGTTCGTTCATCGCCAGTGCTAATGCGGCGTTGCCATACATTGGTTAGCGCCTGGCGAGGGTTCGGCAACACCGCGCCCGCGCCGTGAGTCACTTATCGATCGATACATGCCTGTGACGTCGAGACTGCCACGCACGTAGTTCAACAAATGTCCGCTCCACTCCACGCGCGCTAGTGTGCCAATTTCGGCCATTTCGGGATTTTGTTTTACTGGGACCCACTCTTAATAGTTATTAGCTACTTACTCATTTATATTTACTACTAACTACATGGACAAGCAGATTGTTTTAACACTTCACAAAATTTATTAATGATGCATTGAATGTAGTTCACCAACATTTTATTTTAGTTATTTAAGAAATTAAGACAGACTGTCTTCATTATGCATTGTGGTTTATTAATGGAGAATATAGGTAAAAACTACTTAGATTAGTTTGGAATCTATATCATTTGTAACCGTTTCTCCCTTCCTAATTTCTTGCATTAACTTTTACATTTTTAATTTTTAGACTGGTATCATATTTATTTATTGTACATACCAAACATTCGTGACAGGATCTGCTTCATTGCCGCTAATGATAAAAAGTGGAAACAGAATGGAGAATATGCAACCGCTGGAACAAATAAATCACTGTTTAGAAAACTCTGTGACTGTAAACATGTGAAAGTGCAGCTTAATGCTTCAGAAATTCTCACGTTATTCAATTCAATTCAAACATTCTTTATTTCATTATTGTACATGAAATTAGTACATAGAATTGCGTCAAAAATATTGTCATAATCATAAGACTAAATTAAAAACTAAACATACTAAAATTCTTCCAATGAATACAGTGGTCTTGAAATTAAATAATTCTTTAGCAATTTTTTAAACTTAATAATACTAACTTCTTTTTTAATGTTATCTGGTAAATTATTATAAAATTTTCCTCCAGCATATGTAGTTTTCTTTTTGTAAAATTCTAGTTTGTGAATAGGCATTGATATGTTTAGCCTATTTCTAGTATTGTAAGAATGACTTTCCCCTAGTAAACCCAATTCATCAAAGTGAAGCTTACAATACATGATCACTTCATAAATGAACAAACTATAAACAGTCATGATGCCAAAATTTTTAAATAATTTGAAATGAATTTTTAAATCTATGGTTTATTATAGTAAAATTCTTAGTGAAATATATTTCATCTCTCTTTACAGTTTGAGTAGGCCAATCAAACAATCTTTTATCTTCTCTTTGTTTACTCTAGTTTGCCTATTAAAACTTTACAACTCTTAGCATATGTTCTCATTTATTGTGATTACTGACACTGCCCTACATAGGTTTTGACCTTGTTATCTTCTAGATTCATTTACACCTAGAGTACAAAACTTTAGGTTGAAAAATTTCTGTTTCAGTCTAGAGTGATAGAAATCCCTAACCGTAAACTTCAAACCAAGAACATCTCATGTAATTTAGTTGCCATCAAGAATTGAGAAATATATGTCTCAATTTATACTGGCCAATGGGTTCCAGTAAGTCAAAGTCAAATTTATTTATTTATCTTGTATGCATACATAAATAGTGTCACAAAATTAAGTTAAATAATAAGAATCTTATGGTAAATTACATCACAATTCTCTTAAAGCTGTTTAAAAATTGATTAAGAAATAATCTGTTAATCGACTTAGTACAGTAGCATTAGCTATACAGTAGCATACAGTAACTTAGTGAAACACAAAACAATAAACAATGCTTACAAATTTTTAATTGCCATATTTAATTACATGCTATAAGGTATACATACCTCTGAGCATCTCAAAGAATCAACTAGAGGCAACAAATTCTTCTTTTGAATAACAACTTTTTTTAACTAGTATTTTTTTTAACCAGATGCTTGAAGGTTTTTTTTAGGTTTTTTAATTTTTAGATAGGCTAAATGGTTTAAAGCCAAAATGAGTAGGTTGTTATAAAAAAAACAAAAAAAAACAGTCTGGGTTAAATTTAAATTGTTCTTATGTCTAGTATTATGAGAATGAATACTACTACGAAGATCTAATTAATTATATTTATATCTAACGCACATTATACATTCAAGGATATATTGGTCATAGACCGTCAAAATATTTAGCTGCTTTTTTTTCTTTTTTGGTCTGCTAGATTTAATATAGTTCTCAAAGCTTCCTTCTGAAATATCAAGATTTTACCTAAGTTGCTTTTTGATATTTTGTTTCAAGCATCTGATAGTATTGGTACAATATTCCACCAAGAGAGCGAGCGATTACAAACATAGCGTACATACATACTTAAGATGACAAAACAATAATATCAAAACTTTAGTACAACTACAGCTAATTTACCTGATGATGTAGCTAGGATGGTATCCAGTGAGTACAGCCAATGGCAGACCAAACCCAATGAAGTACGGCCAGTTGTTCTCAATATAGGTGAGTCTACGATGCAGCTCCCAGCCCATGTTGAACCACTTGTACTCAAACGAGTACAGAGAGTAAAGTAGACACATGTGTACAAGACTGAGAGCTTCAGCAAGCACTGGGATAGGCAGCAAACCTACCAGCGTAGTCTGGCAACACAATAATGTTACTTACACAAATTATTTAAATATTTTACACGTAAATAAGAGTAGGTTAGAGTCCCGCTAATCCAAAATAATCCACACCGGACCATCTTTGGATTACTAAATTTGTCGGAAATTAAGTATATTTGCATAACCAGTTACAATATACTTAATAGCCAAAATGACTAATTAGCCATCAACTACTCCCACAATCACAAAAACACTGTGATCGTCTCCCACGATCTTTTTTCTTACTACAAAACCTTATAAGATAAACAATGGAACACAAAATGAATGGACAATGAGACATAGCAAGACTATTTTGAATTTGTCAGTCCCATACAAAATTGACGTACAATTGACGTACTTTCCCCGGTTTTCCGGTACAATTCCGTATTTCCCTGTTGGCTTGACACCCAAGTAAGCTGGTTAGTACTTCAGGACACATTTCTCGATTTACAAATTTAAAACAGTAACCTTTCTCCCAACATATGGTTTGGATTGGCTAGATATTCGGATCAGTGAGGTTCAGATTAGCTATCATTATCTGATGTATTATCAATTACTATCTCGGTTTCATCCATGTTTATACCTAAAACAAGCGGTATGTTTGAAAGAGATTCTACTATAAGGGCAGAAAATACATTGCCAATAATCCAATAGCGATTAGCAGTATCTGGCACTCCAGCAAAGTTTAAAGCTATTTTCTCTACTGGTATAAAAATGCCTTTGATACCAGGCATAGATTATTACAGCCTTGTTTAAAATGTGATTGATAAAATGAAGCAAAAGCCCATTCGAAACAGTTATTTCTAGCATGTGTTTTTTACACATATCAAAACATACTTTTAAACTTTCACAATTCTAGAAGTAGGAGTCAACACACACAAACAATACATAGTTTGTATTTTTAGCAAAAATATTCTATACTACAATATTTGGGTGCCACTTTTTAAAAAGTAAGTTATAACATTGATGTTAGCTATCTTTAAAAAAATGATAACTATTTGGGAACTAGCATTTCTAACATATTATGTGTTTTAGACTTTAACTGTTGTCATTATTTTTTCCTTGATCACATTATGATAAAAATTGCTGATGTTTAAAGACCAGTATAATCAGTGTTTCAGTTCAGTATAATTTAAAAAATTTCTTATTTACTTTTCAAATAAATTTAGAACCAATAGATAAAAGTTTCTCAAATTAATATGAAAAAAGGAAATTGCTGACAAACATGATAGTTAACCAATAATGGCTTCAGTAGGCTATCAGCAATTAATTACTATTTCTGTTTTCCTAAATCCACTTATATTTCAGTTTCTTTGTGAATCTTAGATAACCTATCCTAACGGTCAAAACCATTTTGATTATCTGCTTAATAAATTAGTTATCTTTCACGAGGGTAAGAACAAAATTGTATAATAGTCACATGGGTTAGTGAAAATAATAATGAGTCTGACATCTATTTAAAGAAACATTTAAATGGAATCAGACAAATGAAAATTTGTTTAGTCTGCAGGTTTGCTGCGGCCGGGGTATACCTTCTGCCCCTATATATAGTATATGGAGAAAGTTTTAATTTGTCAAAATTATTTGAGTTTGATTTTTTAATTAAATATCCATTTTGGGGTCTCCCTGAACCCCCCAAAGAGCTACAGACTACACCAGTGGCCCGATTTTGATGAAATTTGGTATGTGGGTACTAATGCATGGTATCTCCAGGCATTTTTGAAATTTTTATTTCTAATGGTGATTATCTCGTTAAATAAGGTGACAGAAAACTCAGATTTTACTTACAATTTTCTGTGTTATAGCCCTTTAAAGTTTGAACAAATTTACATAACCTAAACTCTGTAAAAATTACACTTAACAGTTTTTGCAATATTTAACATTTTAAAATAAAACTAACATCTACCCCCACCTTTCACCTAGTACGGTATACGTATTTACTCATAAAAGTAGTAGGATGTTTAATTTCAGCTACATGCTAATGGAAGAAAGTATGTGTCAGTTTGCCGTTTATTTTGTAACGGAACTAACCTGTGCCAGGAAGAGGAACTGTACGAGGACACTGAAGAGTGTATCAGCAACCAGCTTACTAATACTAGAGAACTGCTGAGGTGTTCCACGAGTGTGTCTGTACGCTGAGTCAGCAATGTCCTGCATTCACACAACATCCTCAATAATAGAGAATAGAAAACATGTTATATGTTTACTGAATGTTAGTAATAGTTACACAATTTAATAGATTTCGGTCTAAATATATTAGTAGCCCATAAATTACAAATTTTACTTTGAATCAACAACGTTCACTGTCACAATTTATCCCAAAAAGGCAAGCGAACAATACTATTTAGTAACATACCTACTGTCTATCAGTATCAGTGAAGGGGAAAACTGCTTGCATTTTGCCTAATGTAAAACCACTTTAAATTTCACAGCTACAACCAAGAGGTTATTGAAATCCTTAGTGACAAAAATTACTTTAATGAATTCTTGAGGGTTCAGAAACTAAAACTTAAATTATTTCAACTAAAATTTTCTTACAAACCTTGAATTAAGTGTACCATGGACCTAGTTTGTTTATTACATTTTGAAATGACATTGTACCAATTGGATTAATCCAATGGTTAGACAAAGTTAAGGGAACATAGGCTACCTGAAACCACAGTGCGTTGACCACTTTGCTGAGCAGAAAGATCGGAAGTACCCAAAAAGTGCTAAATGTCAAATGAAGGAACGGTTCCATCCATGACCAAACGGCTCTACCCGTGGCTGAACTGGGGCCGAACACCATGTACAATACTTGGCGCAGCGTCGGCAACAACACGTATTCAAACAGCACCAGAGAAAACCAGAATACACCACCATTGAGCAGGCAGCACTGCAATGTACGTTGCAGGATCTTAGGTTCTCTATGACAGGGAGAAAGAAAACTCTATAGGATGATATTATTTTATGTTATAGTAAAGTCTCCGTTATTCCAAGGTCAAGTAAGCAAATAAAGGTTGGATTGCACAAAAAATGTAACAGACGTATACTCGTTAATATCATAAAATTTTCTTCATTGTCAACCTTTTTTATTTTTTTTATTTATTTTTTTTGTCCTAGGACGCTAGGCACGAGCCTGGGATTGTTTTTCACATTACTTCAGGCTAGACCTAGGGGTTGCGACATTATCACTTAGATAAAATCCATTGGTGACTTGGCGGGGATCGAACCTGGGACCTCAGGGACTGAAGTCCCGCGCTCTAACCACTACGCCAGCTCGCTCCCCAAACACTAATACAACATTAAAGTCATTAAATACTCAATAACACAAACTGACTGTGTTATCCCAATAATTGTCAACCTATTGGAAGCCTTAAGTTTGTCTTCCATTAAAACTACTAACTTTTTCCATTTTGAACCCATAATCCATTTAATTGGTGAGTTTAATCTCAGACATGAGGGTATGTAGAAATGGGGTTGACATATTGTATGGTATGCAATACGCTAAAACAAGAAAGAGTAGGTCCTTTAATCCATGTGTATTTTCAGAGGACAGTTAGAACGAAGCTGCAAAAAGGTTGTCCTGACGAACCCGATAGGGTTCACAGCCACTCATACCACATTTGTACGTTGATGTTGAATGTTATGATTTTTTAGGATAAATTTTAGCTAGCATACCTGAGAAAATTTAAGCCAATGTCTAATACAAAAAAACATAATACTAGGTTATAATGAGCATACTCCTCAGAACCATGGTCAGATAGTTTTGTGACCTTTTATTGTGTATCCACTAATTTCTAAGGTAAGCTAGCTCTCTAACCCTAAAATTACAAATCAGCCACTCATCTTATGTCTAGGATAAAGCCTGTTAAGTATTACGTTTAAATAGTTCTATAGCTGGGCTATTTGGTAGTACAGTACCGGTACTAAATAGGCTACTAAATAAATATTACAGATTCCCAGGTTCATTCTAAAATAACTCTTCGAAACCAGTTAAAATTATTATAATAACTTAATAGGCTATGCTTACTTTTTTGGCAATTTATAACCTTTATAATATTATCAGAAGAGTCAAATAAAGGCATGAATTTGTAATATTAACAACCCACTTTGACAAGCCAAAAGTTTTGACAAACGCTAATCAATTCAAAAATAATTGCTAAGAGGTATTCTACCTTTTATAGGCCTAATCTTTTAGGAGCAAGTATTTTACTTGGGCTGACTGATTCTACATAGCAGTTAAAAAACTCCTTTGGCATGAGCTTATTTTGAGAATGATCCAAGTTGGCACTCTACCTTCTCACAATTTATAGCGTTTCAACCTCATTCCATTTAAATAACATCTGAACCATCAAAAGCATATTTTTGTAGATTTTACGAATTGCAAGTTGCCTTCACACATGAATAGGATAAAGAATACTTACTCCTGCTTCTTCAATGTCTGTAAATTTGATGATCTTCTTTTGGGTGTTCCATCATTTTTCACATCCTTGAAAGGTGACCGTTGATTCGCTTGCTGTTTGATTTTTTTGTCAAGGTAAAATATAACGATAGTTCCTTTTAAACTGTCTACCAAACCAAAAAAGATTGCTTTCAGGATACCCTAAAATCCAGAAATAATCACATTAAATTAAACAACTTAAGCTATTAACTTAAATTGTCAAAAATATTAGATAACTGTTTAAACTGGAGTTTAAAACAGTGCCAAACTAGGGTATTTAAGCTCTACAGGAGGTTAGAGAGAATAGTGAAATGTTTTGAGGGTCAACAGTTTGAAAAATACCCTATGTAACCCCATAAAATCAAAGTCCTCTATAAAACTTCGTTCCCATAATCCAATCAAACTGGTTCACGAACTTATTTGAATAAATACACTTAACAACAAGTATTTTGTTCACACGTTTGAATCAAAATTTCATCAAAATCAGTTGATAACTGTTAATGTGCTAACGGACATAACATTTATATGAATTTAAACTGATGGTGTTTATGGCCTTTGCGGACATCAAAACAATAAAGTAAATGGCTGGTAGTTAAATGTATAACTTAGGCCCTAGGCCTATTGTATAATGATAATAGTAAATGTGGGGTGTAAACTAAAGTGCACGGTAAAAGACTAAACATTCTTGATGGCTCCCTTGCTCAAAACAAAGGGTTAGGGTTGTTGCGATATCAGCAATCTATCGATATTAGATATCGATAACGATTCCAGCCTCTAATATCGATATCACGATAATATTGGATCCAAATATCGATATCTTCAATATCAAATATCGATATTACTTTGGAGTAATCTAACTTACTTTTTAATGACTTGCTTGAGCTTGTTTAGGATTTTTGATTAGGCGTTCTGTCAGGAAATCTTTTTTGGCAGATATGTTACTTTCAGTTTAAGTTAGTACCTGTTGATTGTTATTACTTTTTATTTATAAGGACCAAAGAGGAAGTGAAATTTGAAATTAATAATAAAAATCTAAGCGATAAAGATAGTTGTTTGGAGCTTTAAACACAGTGCATTTCAAAACCAGCCTAATTTTATGGAGTTACAAAGAAAACAATAATTACCGTATTTACAACAATTTAAACGTTAGCAATGGTGGACTTTAGTGTAGGCTATAATCAACGGCTCTTGAGCTGTGACAAAACTAACAAGTGACAACTGACAGCGCAACCAACACTCTAGCAATAAAAATCAGTTGCTAGTTCCTTCTACCACAAAAGATATAACCAGCTAAGTTATTCCCATATTGAGTTATTGTGGATTTTATCTTGTACATAACTTAACTCGATACCTATCACTAAAACTTTATCTAAACTTAAAAAATTCAATGTCGAGAACCGAAAACTTAATGTCGAGAACCGATATCGACAAAATTCTTCCGATATCACGATATTATCGAAACCCCAATATTGATAGGAAATTGTTTAGATGGGGGTGACCAAGCGTTCTATAGTAAGTTATATATCATTGGAAACTAGATTTTTACCTGAAAATAATGGTGCAAAAATTTTTCTGCTGCCACAAAAACTGAATTTACTACGATTTTTTAAAGTTTATTACTGTAATGCATCTTGTCGGCTGGTCTCTGTCGCCATAACTTTACTGTGAATTGACAAAGAGGACAAGGAGGTAGAGGCATTTATAAATTCAACTGAGCGTTGATTATGAACTACTTCAGTTCTTATTTAGACATGTGAGGTGGGTAGGTTGGGTGTTATGTGGACTCGTGACTGTATTAAGTGTTTTGAAGTTAGGTTAGATTAGGAAGGTAAAGTTTAGGTTATAATGAATCGAGTTGTTGATTTATATTATCTCCAGACTGTTTATGCACTTTGTTAAAAGTACTACTTACAGAATAAATAATAATTTCAAAAATGCGCAGCCTTTTTCAAAAAGTGCATAAACAGTCTGGAGATAATATAAATCAACAACTCGATTCATTATAACCTAAACTTTAACTTCCCTAATCTAACCTACCTTCAAAGGACTTAATACAGTCACGAGTCCACATAACATCCAACCTACCAACCTCACATGTCTTTTTCAACTTATAAACGAATTTTAAACTGTACGAGAAGTTTGGTTAGGTTAGAATAGTGTCACAATTTGTTGTTTATTCATTTTATTAAAACTGCCACTACACTAAATACTTATGGGACATAACGGTTAATGGTCAAAACCTAAGCTAAGCCATTCGGTTAATTAAGTGAAGAGAAGAACTAAATGAATTCCTTCTTCAATGTTCATAATCCAGTCCCCAGATCCAGATTAAATATGTCCGAACTAGAGGTGTTTATTAATGTTAATTAATTTTAATCAAATAATACATAAGTTATAGCCTACTTAAATTAACATAATTACCTTTCTAAGTGTGGGTTGTATTATTCTATTGTAGGGTAATATTTATATTAAAATGGCATATAATCAATCAATAAAAATGTGAATTGTGCTATTAACTTCAATTATACAGTGTACATTGTAGTGCAGATTCAATGTTCCTAATATAAAACATTAAAATAAACTTCAAAAAATCGTAGTAAATTCAGTTTTTGTGGCAGCAGAAAAATTTTTGCACCACTATTTTCAGGTAAAAATCTAGTTTCTAATGATATATAACTTACTATAGAACGCTTGGTCACCCTCATCTAAATAATTACCTATTGATACAATATCGGAAATATCAAAACGAAAATATCGATAGGCCTATGCATTGATATCGATAATATCGCAATATCCCTACAAAGGGGGGCAAACTGTTTTTAAAATGGAATAAGAGAGATTTCAATTTCTAGAACTAGGGCCTATTATAAGTTAGGCCTAAACACTGATAAGAGGTCAAGTTCTAAAAAGGCTAATTTATAGCTGGGTTAGATTGCTAATACTCACAATAAACATATCCATTTTCATTAATCATTCACGCCTAAACCACTGCTGTATAACATTTACATAAATCAAAGTTCAAGAAGTAGGCTAGCTTTGTAGACAGACTAGGCCTTATATGGAGTGTTCAAAATTACATTTTTTTCATTTTCCAACAATTAACGAACTGTAAAATTAAACTATAAAAATGTATTTAGGACCAAAATAAAAACATTAAAATACCATAGACATAACAACTGCAATCTAAATTTATATTTGCTCAAGAATTTTGTTTGACACAGTTAGGTCTAGTCCCGATCAAAATAAATCGCGGAACTTGTTCACTTCCACTTGCAATTCCCAAAACAGAACATTCAGAACTCAGCAGAACCACCAAATCTGTGACTGACTGCTGTGACTTGACTGTGAGTGAAAACGAAAACAAAACATACAGACGTTGATATGGACAGAACAAAGAACAAAACAATAAACAAAACAAGTGAATCAGCTGTTTTATTGTTTTCCTTTTAGTTTCTCTTTCTATTGCGTTGCAGACAACTGAACAACAACAACATTGTCCTTGGTCCTAACCAAGGCTATTAAAAAGAAAAAGAGGTTGCCTCAGTCGCGCGTATGACGTCACCCGCCGACCCGGACGGTGCTGCTTTTAATTCACACAGCTGTCACTGGGTCCTAACCACTTTCTTGCTGTGATACAGATTATAACTTGAGTCACTACTCTCTGGTTAAACGTTAGAGAAAAACGTGCCACTGTTTTTACTGTTCGGTGTTTCGTGTTGTTAGGTTGGCCATGTGATCGGCTGTCAAATTCCAATTCATTCTAACCATAGACTAACCAACACAAGTAGACTTCTCATCCTATTGTAAATTTTGAAGCACGTTTTTCGTGTCTAGTTCATGTACGTGACACATGGGCGCTAGTGTCGACGAAACTTTGTTTCTATTATTTTAGGGTTAATTTCTTGATTTGTGCTTTACTGTTTGGTTATATAACTAGGGGACAAGTTATTGTTTATGATTAGATCGTATTATTTGGTTAAACGAGGTTTTAAATGGCTGTAATAATGGGAAACAAATTATAAACAAAACACGACCTCTACATAAACCGTACAGAACTAACAATCAAATTGTCTTCAGCTGTTCCTGTTTATGCCTATTTGGGGTTATCCGTTATTTCAAGGACTTATATCAACAACTTATTTAAGTCACTGCACGTTAAAACCTGTGTATTTAAAGTTATTTCGAAACATTATAAATTGTTTTTGATAGTAAGTAAATACTAACTTATTTACCTCTTTTCAAGCTATGTGGTGAAAGAAAAGAAAAGATAAAAGGATAGTCAAGTTAGTTTCTTGGTTTGGAAGGGAGTATGTTTTATCTATGGTTTGGAGATATTAGTTTAGTCTTGGGTTTAGCCCTATGGCATTTGATTAAAGAAGGGCCATCGGCTTAAGGTCTTGTTAAAATGGGTTGCTCTTGCTAGTAAAATAAATAAATAAACTTATATTTCAATCGTAATGTTGACATATTTTGGTTTACTATCAACAAAACAACAGGATTTATTATTTTTAATGTCAAAATTGTACTATAACTCTTATTATATTAAAGTGTTTTGGTACCTATGATAAAAACTGGAATAAACGTTAAAAGAACAGTAAAAAAAAAAAAAAAAAACAGGATGACTCCCTTGCCTCTAATTTGACAAGTCCCACCAGCCGATCACCTGGCCAACCTAACAACACGAAACTCTGAAACAAAACCAGCAAAAACAGTGATACGTTTTTAAAACACGGATTGGTTATTCCACTTATTATTATAGCTCAGTGTAACCATGGTCCTAACCATTGAGATATACATTATTATAGCTCAGTGGTCCTAACCATGGCCCTAACAAACTTTCCTCCTCAGTTTAGACAGTAAAAGAGTAAAAATACATGGCTAAATTTTACCTCCGTCACGGCCACCTTTAAAGGCGGCCGTGGCTCCGTACATACCACGGCCACCTTTGGCCAGGTAGAATTGGCAACGTTGCAAGTCATGGTGGAAGGAAAATTGTTGCAAGTAGGCGTAGTGTTGTCTAGCGCCAGACGTCCCATAAAATAACATGGCAGACAGGTGACGACAGCTCATTAATTCGCGTATTATTCATTAACATTTTAGATTTATGAACATAAATTTATTAAAAGATTGAAAATAAAACATATAAGAATTGAAACCCAAAACAATTTTAAATTGAAAATCTAATTTTTACATTTAAAGTGGAGTCAATATTTTCATAGCCCAGTAACCAAGCTTCCGTATTCTAAAAAAATACACAAATACCATTAGCTTCCTCCAAACAAACCCGCTGTTACAACTCTACTTGGACAACAACAACCCGTACTCACGGCCACCTTTAACTCCAGGCCTTGGCCATTAAAGTGGCCATGGTCAGTCGAAAGTGCAAGTGTTGTAACAGCGGTTTTTGTGTATGGTATTTGTATATATTTTTGTACATACATAACCAATGCCAATGGGCTATAAAGCTACATTTTTACTCTAGGCTGTTTCCACTTTTACCTTCTTGTCAGGTGTTTTGTTAATTTACAGTACAAAAAGTATTTTTGTTTTACAGCTGATATGTCAGATATTTGTTTTTATTTTGATCTAAAAACCAAACAATAGCTCGTGTTGGACTGAATATGTTGTGTTTCAACTATACTAGACAGTCTGGGAATATTTTCCCATTGAAATGTAATAGTTAAGACCAAAGGCAAAATCATTGTAGTGGAAATTGTTCATAGTGTTATAAATAAGCAACTATTACTGTTTTTATTGATTTAAAGTACATATTAATGCCTTGAACCAAGAACACAGTAGGTCACTTGTTCTGCTAAATAGGTATATTTTGCAAACACTTTATCATAACAGTATTTTTAATTCTTATTTTAATAATATGCCAATCTTTCCATCTAGTTGGACAATATAGCCTGCTAGTTTTTGTGTCAAAATACATCATTGGTTCTTGTGGCAAAAGTCTCCAACCTCACAAACGGTGATGATAATAAATTTATAGCTTTTGAATAAAAAAGGAAAAAGATAGTTTGATCCGGAAATCTTTTTATGAGCTAAGTTATAACCAAATCCATTAGTTTTCTAATTTGCAAAGTAGTCTTGCATATTAAGTTTAGCCTTTATTTTTCTGCAAAGCTATATTAACTTAGCTATGGCTATGGTAACATTATTTTGCTTTAGTGTAGTATGTTTTACTTTTGTACTTAGTTTATGACTGACTTGTGCATTTCAAGCTTCCATGACAAGATCGATTGCATGCCTATAGATCAATAAATGTCTTAACTTATGTCTTATGTAGACAATCATAAGTACCCAATCATGAGTTGACTGATGTGGTACAGCATGTGTCATGGTTATTATTATCATCAATTGAGATTGGGAAGCAACCTAGGTGAGTATTTTAACCCGAAAACTTATGAGCAAAGGATGTATGTAGAATGGAATGGAGTGATATGACATGTATCTTTGTAAGTTAACCGACTAAGATCAGCTGTTTTATTAGCCAGGATAATTAATTTAGAGCCCAATAATAGTTAACTGAGTTTTAAAAGCAGTAGCTATATTTACTGGCGACAGTGGCAGATATAGAATATTTTTTTGGAGGGTCCGAGATTAATTTAAGGTTAGGTTAAGTAATTTCAAGTAGACAGGCCATGATATTTTATCTCATATTTGCTGTGGTAATTTGCACTTAATGTGACCTTTACTGTACCACGATTATGCTGTATCATTATATCGTTCAATTAAATCATAACAATTTATCTATTCAAGCCCAATGAAGAAAATATTTCAATTGACTTACTTAAATCAAAAAATCATTGGTCAAGATTTTACAGTGTGACATCCCATCTGTGAACACTTGTCAAAACCTAAGGGGTAAGGAGTCAAATACGCAATTGTGATTATTATATTCAGAGGGATTCTAACTACTATATAAGTATTCTTTTGTGCGAACTGCAAAACTTTAACATTTCAGTGCAATCCCTATGTCAAACAGATGTAAATAACAAACGATAACAATGGCTACGACTGAGCTGACTGAACTCCTCATTACTCCCCTCCCCTTTCGCTGGTTAGATATGCTGGTCTCCAACGGTCAATGCTGCAAGCGAAGATAGCCCGGCGGCGGACAGGAGCTTGAGTCGGTCTGAATCAACTCGAACTCGCACAAATTATCACTATCTGCCACCAAGATAACTTAGCACATCATTCATGACAAACAATTCATATTATGGTACCGGGACCTATTTTTCTTTATAGGCCTATCCATTATTTCTGGGGGGGGGGGGGCGGCCCCCTGGGCCCCTCCTTATATTCGCCTCTGACTGGCAATAAGTTACCAACTTAATTCTAATTTTTTAGATGAAGTTTCAATAAAACTGTAGGCTAGTCCAAAGGCTTATTTCTCAGTAAAGATCAAGTTAAAGTTCCTTGAACTTGAAGATCTAGCTCAATCATTCTACTGCCTGACTTATACAACAAATTTCTTTCAAAAACTGTTTTAAGTTAGGTACCCATATTAAGTTACTTAGGCTAGTTGCCTAACTCAATTTCAAATATGTATTGTAACTATTCTTAAAATGTTTATATTTTAGGATGGAACAACAAAACTCAGAAGATTCTACGGCACCACAAACTGTCAGATGCTCAGATTTCGCTCTCAAAGCTAGCAATCCTTCAAAACTGTTTGCCCTTTATTCCTCTCTAGGTGATCTCAATGCCACCAAGCTCCAACAGAAAGTCAACAGATATGTAAGGAGGCGTGAATTTATTTATTCTAAAGATTTTGTGCTAAACCTTTTAATAATGTTAGCTGTTTGTTCTCTCTACGCTAATTTAAGAAACAAACTATACTCACAACATCAAAATCAGTAAAAAGCTGGTTGATTTTGGTTTCATAGCAAATTTCCAGAGGGGAAAGCTATTTACCTATAAGAATGAATATAAGTTACCTGTATACGTTGACCTGTAAATAACGCTCATATTTCCTATATGATAAATGAAAGAGATCACAATTCTCTATACAATTTGTCTGTTTTTAAGTCAACTTAATCATTAAAATAAGTCAGGTTTGTATGACTTCTCAAATAGCTAAAATGGGCTTTGAAATTTATTGTTACAATTCCACACCTAATACACAACTTTATAACTATTTTGAATTTGAGGTTGTTTTGTAAAAACATTTGTTTAAAATGTCCTTTTAAATAAAAGCTTTGTATTTTCATACCTATATTGATATTAAATTATTTGACAAGTAATCTGTATATTATTTGACCTTAAAATAGTTCCTAATTAATTATAACCTGGTAACTAACTTTGTAATTAATTAACTGTAGTAACCTGGTTAATTATATAACCCTA